TTTAGCATGCGTTAATAGTTATAAAATAAGAACTTTGACTAGTGGTAATACAATTTAAAAAAAAGAACGAATAATCTTTTAAATACAGGCAGTATCACAAATACTCAATCACTTTAGAAATTAATTGTTCAAACATTATGTCATAAGAAACTTATAATGACTTAGATATTACCAGCAATAGTGAAGATATGACTCTTGCTATAGAAGCTAGTAAGAATATTAACTTCGAGGATAATACCATTGTTGTTAACAGTGAAGATATAGATTTTAATTTTGTCAATAATGAGGATATTGGCTTTGCTTTTGATGACAGTAGTAATATAAGTTTCACTTCTGATAACAATGAAAATACAAACATTAATAGTGATGATATAAATCCTACTATCGATTTAAGTAATAAAGACATATCTGTTAAATATAGTAAGAGTATTTTAAAACGGAATGGATATGGACAACATATATCTATTGTATAGGAATTTTTTTCTGATGAAAAAAATGAAGATCAAGAAGTAGTTGCAATTGTTTATAATATTTGCATGAAGAAATAGAAACTGGGTAATACAACTAGAACTTTTGCAATTCATCTTAATAATAAATATTATAGAAATATTTTTCTGAAACAGCAAATACTCTTATGTTTTGTGACTACACTATATATACCAAAAAAAGAAAAATGAACAAATGAAATTACTAAAACAATAGTTGATTTTATCATATCTTACCAATTATCTTTTACTGTTGTAGATAATAAGTACTTTAGAGAAATAGTTAGTGTTCTCAATTCATGCTATCATGTTTTATACTGACAAATATTAAGTAATGAAATAATAAGCTAGTTCAAAAATACACATGAAAAAATAATAAATTTACTTGAAAATATTAGCTCAATAGTTTTAGTTACATGTGATATATAGATAGCTATATCTAACTAAGTGTATTTGGGAATAACTATACATTATATCAATAATAATTAGGAATTAAGAAGCTTTCTCTTTGATTTAATACACTATCCAGACTATCATTATGGTACACATACCAAAGACCTGCTCCTAACATTATTCAATAAATTTAAAATCATACAAAATATTATGAGATTACTACTGATAATAATACAAGTATAATTGTTACAAGGCATAAGTTACAAGTATCCTTTTTATTTTTAGAAAATAATAATTTTGTATATTGTTAATATGCAGCATATATCTTAAATATCGCAGTAAAACATAGTATGCAGCTCGAAACTATAATTATTAAGAAAGTTAGAAATTTATAAAAAAAGTCTGCCACTCTCAATTATTATATAACAGTTTACAAAATATTTATGCTATACAAGAAGTTGAATACTTAAAACTGGAGCTTAATATTAAGATGCATTAGAACAGTACATTTCTAATGTTACAAAAGTTTAATAGAATAAGTGAAACATTAGAATTTTTAGTTGCAAAAAACAAAAAACAGCTTGAAGATTCATAGCTTGATAAAAGTAAGTAGGTGCAAATAGATGCAATACTAAAGCTTCTCGAACTAATATACCAGACAACATTATTGTTGTCTTCTAGTTTTTATCCAGCTATCAGTGACATTCGTCTTGTGTTTATTAGGCTACAGTGCTACCTTGATCAATATCTCTCTAACTATGAAGAGGATGAATGCTATATGGTATAATCAATAATGCACAAACTAGAAGAGTATTAGAACATTATTGAAGAATCAACTATATTACCTACCTTACTTAATTCATGTTCAAAGTTAAAAACTTTTGTTACATGTGAAATCTGATCAGCTGCTGTAAGTTTGCTATGAGAACATATGTCAAGCTATAAAGAAACACTTTTAAATATATTTACTACCATGCAAGAAAAAGAAAATTAAGAAAAAAAAAAGAATCAGCAATTATTTTTTGAATCACTTTTATAACAAAGAAATAATGTACTAATAACAAATAAGCTAGAATGATACTTAGCTCTTCTACTTGTTCTAGAAGAAAACCTACTTAAATAGTGGTATAAGTTTGAAAAAAAATTCTTAACATTTAGTAAAATAGTAAAAAATTACCTGTTGATACAAAAAACTAGTGTTCTAAGTGATTATGCATTTTCAATTGTAGCTCATACTGTTACAAAAATTAGAAGTAATCTTGCTTTAGATTCAGTACATGCTGTGATATATTTAAAAAGTTGAATAATAAAGGTTCGTGATAATTATCATAATTATGATAAATTGTAACAAACCTTTATACTATATAATATTTCATGATAGTAAAAGGCTTGGATTTTTAGATTAGTAGTTTTTGTTGTTTTGTATGAGTTAAACATAAAATTAG